TTAGATTTAATAGCATTTACTACTTCATATTTCGCAGAGTATTATTAGGGTCTTGAAGACTGACTTTGTTCAATCAAAACCGAAACCTTAAAGTTTATCTTAAATGAAAGTTTTTTGATAGCTTAAAACTTTTTACTCTTCAATACTCAATACGCATCTCTCCATTATTTTATTTTCCAGTGTAACTCAGCTCTTTTCCAGCTTGAAGGGGATTTGTGAAAAAAGCATGTGTGCGAAAGCGATGGCTGAACTTAACATTAAAAATAAATAGCCAGATATACACATGTTTCATAAGGCCCTACAAAATGTCCGATGAAAGAGCAGCTCCCTGAGTCCTCATCCCCACTTGCGGAATCCATTTGGAGGACGGGGGTTGGCATAATTATTTCATGCCCGCTGTTTGCATTGGGAATAGCCAAACTCCAGTGAGCCAAACCAAAAACGAGGTGGGAATTCAGAGGTACCTTCTCCTGTCCAATGTGCATTGCATATGCCGGAGTGCGTGAAAGTTTTGCGGCGTGGCCGCAGAATCTTTTGCGGGGGTTGTAAAAAAGTTGTAAACTTAAAGTTTTTATTTTCTTCAGGACCTGCAAGTTTTCCAGCGAACTTTCTTCTAATGGAACTTAAACACAGGCACTCCCCCCCTTTTAGCTACGACCCTGGATCCCTGGTTCTCACTCAGCCATCACGTTTGGTCTATAAAAACAGCTTTCGCCGTGTGCTCGTGTATATATGTACATATATGCATACGATTTTCCCTCTTTCTATTTGTGTATTTTGTTTGTGTTTATTAGTCGCCTGTGTGTCTAGAGATTGATGGCATGTGCCAGAAGACTTTTCCGTGCGGATTCGCTTTAAATGGAAATCCACCTTTTCCAATGCTGGCAAAGTCTTTAAAAAGATTTATTCTCGTTCGAGAACAATTCGTAAACACACTGTTCTTTATTGTTTTATAGGTATTCTTTGAAGAAACCAATAAAACGGTCTCGATAAATATATACAATCCCTAAAAACATTCCAATACAACTTTTTTTTATCTAACAAACAGTTTAGGAAATATATTTGAAAGAATATTTTTTTCCCAACTATTTAAATAAAAGATTTCCCCTTGTACTTTTGAAAATCTTATAGTTACCTTTTACTGTTTTTGTAGTTGTTAAATTTATATGTCACTTTCATGCTTTTCATAGTTGTTTTCGTTTCTAAAATACGTCTTTAAGATGTCTGTTTCCAAGTACTAAGGCCATAAAAAAGATCACGTCCCCGTGGGAAAATGCGGTTGTAAAATTTCACACATCGCTAGTCCGAGTCCGCCTCTATTTTCTGTAGTGGCTCATTTGAAATTTGTTTTTATTTAGATGGATTTTATTGCGGGACCCCTGGATTATGTAAATATATATTTATTCCAGTGCTGGGTCTGGTGCTCCTCCATTTTATTTCGCTCATTTCAGCTGTGCGCCCGACTGGGTCCGTAATTTATTTGATTATGGATGGAAATGGGAATGTAACGCCAGCTGGGGAATGTGCAGGGACCAAACTAAATTTTCCGAACCAGCCCTCTTCATCACTGAAGCCAGAAAATGGCTTAAATGTTGCCTGCACTTTGCATCTGGGCGACTGCCAAATGGCACACAGCTGTGAAAAAGCAACAAACCGAAAGGATACGTGAAGGCACGGACAATGACTTGCACACACACACACACACACTCAACCACACACTCATACACCCAGAAAGCGAGGGGCAACAGTTTGTTTGTTCAAGTGCTCGAAACTGGCGCCACGTGCAGCTGCCACCAGCTCCACGGGCCATGTTTGCATTTTGAATGAGCCTCCGGGCGCAGGAAGTGCAACAGGAGGAGCCGAGGCCGGCAGGATCCCCAGAACGAGAACGAGAACGAGCCGGAGCCCACCTTCCACTTTCCACCTGGGAGACAGTTTAAATATTTAGCCCGGCCGAGAGACTCACTTAGCTGATAAATCCGCGCCGCCATCCGGACAACAATGAAATTAGGCGTAAGCGAGGTTCATCCGCCCATCACACTCTGAAAAGTAAACAAAGCTTTGTCAATTTTAAATGGTTTTAGCCCCTGTATCTTTCCATCAGTGTTCTTTTAGGATTTTTAACATCCCCAACTTAAAGAACACATCGTTCAGTGTAGATTATGCTTAGTAATAAAAAAATAGATACTTATAAAAAACATCTAGCTATAAAATCATTCAACTTGTAAGTTCTGTACCTAGATTCTTATATAGCCCCAGATATTTAGTTAGCTGTCCAAGCTTGTTTATGCCATACTTTTCGCCAAGTGCAAATCCAGTTTGGCAGCTTGCAGCTAATTCATGACAGTATTTTGCGGCTTTTGTGGCTTTTATGAGCCTAGCCAACGGCCCAAACCGTATGCATGTCATTGCCGGCCGTCCTGCCCCCCAAATGGCCATCAGCAGCTCATAAGAGCGGGGAATCCGGGTTGAGGAGTGGCCAAGTGCCAAAGCAGTTAGTGGCAGCAAAAAAATGTGGCCAACGTGGAGAATCCTGGGAAGGGAAGGGAATGGAAGGGGAGGGGAGGGGAGGGGGCACATTGAGTCCGGGTGCTCGGGCGGAAGCGGAAGTGACAGTGTATGAAACAGACAGATAGCGAAGAATGCGGTAGGGTCCTGGCCAGGGTGCGGGGCAGGAGGAATGGAGAGAGGAGAGGGGGAGGTGGCAGGAGGCACAACCACAGGTATTAGGTGCACAGAACAGACATGAATAAGAAACGCACTTGCTAAAGCGTAACGAGTCCATCGTTATCGTGTTAGGACTGTCAACGCACAGCCGTATATATTTATTGTATATATAAATTTGCATTGAAATTGAGGCAACACAACGGCCAGCGAAGTGTGGCAAACAGATTGGCAAGGACCCGGCATAAATAACTTAGCTCAAGGAGTTGATTGTTTTGGGGTAGCAAATGCGGTTGTCTTTGAGTCTTTAATGCTGGCCAATTTGTAAGGCAAAGCCATTTAATGGCAGACATTGACATACTGCCGGCACAAGTTAAAAGGGAATTTCGGGGTCACTGAAAGTTGACGTCCAGCAGAATGTCTTGTCCAAAATATTTTTAAATTAAAATAGTTCAGGCTTGTGCTCATGAAAGACTTTCTGTTGATTATACATTCATTCCGGGCAACTAAAAGTTAGTGTTCATCAGAATGAACTACACAACATATTTTTAAACTTTTAAAGTCTAAAGTGCGAAGGCTTGATATTCAGCTTATGAATTATGAAGCCTTTCTAAAGTTCATAAAAATTACAGCTTGGGAAAACTTCTTGACTGACATAAACTTTTGAATAAAAAAACTACTGCGGTTCAGTAGAAGTTCTTTGCAACATGGATTTAAAACTAGAATACGAGTATTTTGAGATAATGATAATACCTAATAAAAACTCATGAATTGTCAAAGGAAAAATATCCCTAATCTACAACAAAATTGGGCTTATTATTCAATTAATGTTGTCTATTTATTGAGGTTAAGAAGCCAAGCAATTTTCTATGTTTAAAAATGTAAAAAGAGGTAAACCGCCAATTCAACGTGGCTATTTAAATTAAATAGGTATTGTGGAGAAATCGGGGTCACCAGAAGTTTAAGCCACAAACTTTGGCACGACCACCAACTTCCTGAAGCCACCCCCATTGAATGGCTCATTTTTAGAGCTTTCCTTTCATGCTTATCGGGATCCAGGACGGCTGATTTATAAGCTGACAATTTAGCCACTCAACGACATCCTATAGTATTCTTGCGGCCCGGGTCCAAGGACACTGTTCATGGCTTCATTAGCCGGCGGAGAGATCAGCAGAGGACATGGCGAACTATGCGAACCGATGAGATTTCGCTGCGTTTTATTACGCCGCAAAATATACATCTCCGCCCGTTCGGGCCATTATTTATATTGTGTTAAGCACTTTAGTACGTCCTAATGCCAGAGGCAGCTGCAGAGGACCCGGGATTTGGAGGCCAAGGCACATGTTGCGGCGATGGTGGCAGGAAGTGATAATTGCGGATGGATGGAGGAAGGCTCCGCAAGGACATTGTCGACTGCACTCTGCAACCAGCCAACCAGCCAGCGCGGCCAGCGCCATCGAAACGTGTCTAAAAGCCGTGAAAAGTGCACGTAAGCCCGCAAATTGCCGCTAATAGAGTGCAAACAGTTTGGACCAGGATGCTGCCTTCGAAAAGGGAAGCTGCGAATGAGGAAATTCACTTAAAGCCAGGGCAGCGGAAAATTGCATTCACCTTGAAATGCTTTCGACAGCCAACAACGACAGCCAACAGCCGATTTGATGAGTGCCCCAAATCACAAGTATCCTGGGCATTCCCGCTCGAGGAATTTCGTATTAAAATGTGGCAAAGGGCGTCTTTTCCCTTTGCCACCGGAAAACTATTTGGCAAACCGTTAACCGCCTTTCAGACCGTTGAGCGATTTTTGAGACAATTTTACGGTCGACACACAAGATGGATTGGGGAAAGTATCTCGGCTGAAATTTCATCATGCCCACATGACCGGCAACAAGTTTTTGGCTTTATGGGTAACTTTTGACTGCGGCATACACAACTGGAAACTTGAAGCCTGTTGATGAGTTTAGATTTTAAGCGAAGTTGGCTAGTTAGGCCGCTGGCAGTCTTGAAACTTCCTGTCAGGGTTTCCTTAAGTGGTGCACACGCGGCGTATGCGTAACGAATTCAGGTGCTCTCGAGTGGTGAGATTTTCCAACTTTCCCCTCCGCGAAAGGGAAAGAGATGTGCGAACGGAGAGTGAAAGGGAGAAAGCGACTGAGGGAGAGACTTTCCACTCAGCAGCTGGGCCTGAACTTTCTCTGTTTTCTTTTACTATCTGGGCTTCACGTGGAATGTTAATGTTAACATTTGAAGAGAGAAAGGAAAAGTTTAATATTTTTAGAGAAAAGCTCAAGGAAAACCAACCACGTAGATGTATAAACACGAAAGTAAAGCACACAAACTTTAGAGCTTTCGAGTAAACTTTATTAGGATTCAACCTCAGGACAAAATAAAGTTTATTATATTAAGCATAGAGCCTGTAGTTTTCCAGGATTTCATTTAGAGCTTTTTAGATCGCTCTTAAATAATGGTTATGAACTCGGGATTCATGAAGGAAAATCCAATAAAATCGTTCTGGTCCAAGTTCATCATGAAAAGCTTGTCTGTGGGTGTCAAATCCGTCTTCTCCTTGGTGAAGGCGTCATCAAAGTTGCTAATGTCCTTGCGATGTTTCTGAAATAAATCCAAAACCAAATTAAATAGTTATTCAGTGTGAAGTTTAGATTAAGCATACAATTTTAGGTTTGATGGGGGGATCCATTTCTCCAGCCTCTGCTTTTTCCCAGTCGATACTTGCGAAGAAAGGATGCGTGGTGATTTCCTGTCTGGCATAACGTCCGGCGCCCAAGCGATTGTTGGGCTTCTTGGTCAAGAACTAGATAAAAATACTCATTTAATTATAGTTCAAGGATTTTCGATATTGTACTTACGCTGGTTATTATATCCATGGCCTCTGCAGTAAAGTGCTTCGGGAAGACGGCCTTCTTCTCCTTAATATTCCTGAAGACGGCATTGTCATCATCGCCTTCAAAAGGAGCCTGACCTGCCATGAATTCAAAAAGCAGAACTCCGAAAGACCACCAATCAGCGGCGGTGGAGTAAGCATCATAGCTAACGATCTGTAATTTTAGGAAAAACCATTAAAGTTATTCAATTACATAGTTAGTTAGATTACTTACTTCAGGTGCCATGTAGTTGGGAGTGCCACAAAAAGTGCGTGTAGCCTGACGCTCAGTCACCCCCTCCTTGCTCAGGCCAAAGTCCACTAGTTTCACATGTCCCTCGCCATCCAGTAAAATATTGTCCAGCTTCAGATCCCTGTAGATAATGTCACGCTCGTGCAAGAAAAACAAAGCTATGGCTATCTCCACAGCGTAGAAACTAAACACAAATGTTATTATGGTATTTGTACTATTAATAATATATTATTAGGTATTTCTACTCACATAGCCACTGACTCCTTGAACCTTCCGTACTGCTGCATATGATACATGAGATCCCCGCCTTTGCAGTACTCCATTACGAAGAACAATCGGTCCATAGTTTGGAAACAGGAGTGCATGGAAACAAGGAATGGGGGACGACCGGAGAGAGCCAGGATCCTCTTCTCATTCATGGGCAGCTCCATATCGTCCGTTTGAATGATGACATCCTTGCGCAGGACCTTCACGGCATACAGCTCGTCAGTGCCACGACGCTCGGCCAACAGGACTTTGCCAAAGGATCCCTTGCCAATTGTCTTGACAAAGTTGAAGTCAGCTGCTCGAATCATGTCGCGTTTGCTCATGTTATGCGGCATGTCCTTGTTGTCCATTCGGCGCTTGTCATTGGGACGTCGATCATGCTGGGGAATCGGAAAATTATAATTTAATATGATTAAAATATATATAGCTCCATACCTTGACTTCATCGCGTAGGCGAGCTATGTCGTTGAAGGCATCCACACAGGGAATGTTGTAGTGCTCGCCCTCCACTTGGGAGAGGAACTTGTACCATCCGTCAACGGGCTCCTTTTGCAGCTCCTCCAGACTGAAGGAGAAGGAGCCCATGAAGTCATTACGGGAAGTTCGATCCCAATCCCAGACCTCGATGAGCAAGCGCTTGTCGCGATCCTGCTGCTGCAATTCACTGAGGAATCAGAGTGTAAATCATTTCAAAACTACTTAAATAGGGATTCAAAATAGGTTACAAGGTAAAGGTCTCGTTGAAGACCGGGTTGAGGTTCTTCTGAATGGTCTTGGTCTTCTTTTTGGTGCGACCCGAACGATCCGGATGCATTTGCACTGCGATGTAGGGATCGCTGAAGCCATTTGTATCCATGGGAATAAGGTTGGCCGCCTCCTTGACTGCGGAAGACAAACAGGACTTACACTCCCCGTTCAATCGAACACTTCCCCAGCAACTCACTGTCCACTTTCAGGTTGTTGCCCTTGAGCTCCACGTAGAGCAGCAGCTTGCCGCGCACCTCGCTGATATCCGCGCCACACATCGGTGGCACGGTCTCCTTGCACGAGTGGTGCACATTGAGGTTGCAATCTGAAGCGGTCGGGTAAACAGCATAGGATAAACAGGCGGCAGCTTATTTCGCAACTTACTCTCGCACTTGAGGCCCTGATGGGCCACTCCATGGAGCAGCAGGCCGCACTCGTCGCAGAAAGTGGGCGTGGTGTAGGTGGTGGAGATCCACCCGTGCTTCACCTTGGCACAGTCTGCGTCGAAGTCCGTGTCCTTTCCAGGACACTTGAACACCACGAACTTGCAGCACTTCTGGTGGATATTGAAGCGGCATTCTGCAGTGAAATATTTTTAATTACAGAATTCAAAATAGAAGACAGAACTTTGAACCTACCCTCGCACTGAAAACCTTGCTTGCCAAAGCCCCTAATGCCGGCACGAATCCGCGAATGCAACAATTTGAAACGGAGACCAGCAAAAATAAAACAAAGGAAAAACAGCGGAAAGTGTGTCAGCGAAATGGCTAATTAAATTAACGATGGTTATGCTAGAAGGCCAGCTGGAAAATCGAAGCCTGACTTCCTCACCAGATGAAATCCCTGCAGTGACCGCAGTAGGTGGGATTCTTGAAGAACCTCACTCCGAACTTGTGGCCGTTGACCATCTCGAGACCCTTGCGCTTCATAGCACCCTTCCGCAGTCGATTCTTCATGTAGTTGACAATGTTGGCCTCTCCCGTGATCTCCAGCAGATTTGCAGGGCCCTTCCCCGCCGTCCCGGCTCCAGTCGCAGGAGCCTTCGCTCCTTGGGGAGCAGCGGGTCCCGATGGGGGGAGCGTCGTGGCCCCCGGAGTGGCAACAGCAGCAGCAGCCATCGATAGTTTCAACCTAGTGGATTGCGGGGTAACTGGAACCGCTCGCCTTCAAGCCCGTGGAATAACTGACCCGGTCGGTCAGGTGGAGACCCCGTATCAAGACATCGGGCAGCCAACAAAGTGCGCACCCACAATAGAAGACGAGACAATTTCACCTAGAGGCAAAAAGTGGGATTGTTCTGTAATGTAAAAAATTACTAACTAGTGTAAAGAAAGAAAAAAAGAAAAAACTGAAAATTATAAAATGTATCTAAAAAAAATGTTCAATTGAAATAAGCTGGCAACCAAATTAAAACAGATCATAAATAGCAGTTTCAGACTTAAATATTTATAAGCACTTCAATAATTCATTACGTTAAAAGTTCAAAAACGCATTAATCAACTCCGCGCATGTATAAAACATTATATAACTGAGCTCATTTAAGAGACCATTTAACATACTCGTAATTTTATTTTGGTTTAATTAGTGGTTTACATAATTAATTTTGGTATTCACAGAACTAAAAATCGTGGCAATTGTTGTGTGTGGCTTGTCCTGTAAGAAGTTTACATACACATAATTTTAATAATACAATTTGTTGGCATAGGGACAGCTAAAGTCTATCATTTATATTTTACGATAAAGGAATTTGCTGAGTAACACTATAGGAAAGTTCCTTGACCTCAAAGACTTAACTAGTATTCCACTATCCCTAAGGTCTGGTGTAAATGAATAGGGAAGACCCTCCCCTCCGAGGTAATCAGCACCTATCCACCGTAGGTCCACTCCGATTCTGTTAGCCCCATCAGATGGCCCCCTCCGAATTGTCCCCCGGGCAAGCCACTCAACGGCAAGCCGTCAATCGAACGGAGGACCAAGAATCCAAGAGTGGCAGCCTGAAGCCCGGGGGCCAAGAACTCTCGTCTGCGGGCCTCGCCAGCGATAAGTGTAAACAGCTTGGGGAAGGTCAAGAAGGTGCTTACCTGGCCAGAGGACAAACACAATCATCGTCACCATCATCGGAGGCATCGCTCCGGACAACTGCAGCAGTGACGTCAATGCACAAGGGAGGATAAAAGGGGGCGAAGTCGAGGGGGCGGGGTTGGGTTAAGTTGTGGTGTGCCAATTGTCGATCGAGTATTTATACTCTGTGGCAGTTGTGATTAATTTATGCAATTGCTGGCGAGGCATGTTTGCCGTAAAAGCACCTCCCAACCCCAACCCCCTTTCCGCCGCCACTGGTTCACAGCTGGCTTGTAGTGCAGGGCTAAAAATAGAAATAGAAAACGCAGAATTGAGCACAAAGTGCACACAGGACACAGAAGGACACACGCTGGCAAGGCAAACAAACCGAAAGCGGTTAGCTGAAATCCAAGCCGAAAAGATGATGAGGAGCAAGGTGAAATGGGTCGGAAAATGCATTTGAGCGGAAATGGGAAAGCATTGTCAGGCAAAAATGTCATTAGAGCGGGTCCAAGTGAAAGTATCTGGATCTGCAGCGGCACGCGTATCTGTATCTCAGGAGTGCACTCAGTGAGTCGACAAATATGCACTCGGAGATTGCCAGGACAACTGCACACCTGTCGGTTGAAAGGGATCGAAAGGGGGCCTGCATCGGGGGCGGAATCGCAAATAGATTCCGTTGCCGTGGCAGCTTGGGGCTTCAATTTACGTCATCATTTCCATGGCGTCGCCAAACAATTTCCCCCCTCTGCTCTCCCGCCGTCGCCGTTTCACAAAAGCAGGCCAAGCCACAAAAGCGCCAGAGAGCCGGCTCTCCGCGTATAACACCTCTTGTTTGGCTTTACTTCCAGTTATTTACTTTGGCCCTACTTTGCTCTGCTTTCGTTTGCCTTTGGCCCACGCTTTGTTTTCGCCATTTCAACATTTGGCAGTTCCGCCCTGCTACTTGTTAGCCGACCGTCTTGTTTTTGACCTGCGCCCTCAACACCTATTGATCTGCAGAGCACCTGTCGTGGGTGACCAACTGGATAGGCACCTTCAGAACTTGGCTTTCATGATCGCAAGTGCGATCGATTCTTCTGGATTGTAAAAAATATTGAATAAAAGTAGCCAATGTAATAAAGATTAACAGTCTCAAAGTAGCTGTAACATTTAATATTTATTAATAATTATTATTAACCCATATTTGTTGTTTATAATTCTTACCAACTTATACTGCAATACAAATCCAATTTTCGATATAAAAAAGGTTAATAAAATTAATGGCCATTTCAAATTGGGTTGTTAGGAAATGCAGATAACATTTTAATAGCCAACTCTGCCAATTATTCTCTAAACAATGCAATATCTGACCCTCCAAACGCAAATATCCACCTAAGTTACGAGCCGTACATGCACGTGAAGCGTGGTAAAACCGCAGCAATTAGCCGAACAAGGCCCAAATGGCCAACCATAATTAACAGTGGCAAATAAAGTCGAGCGAACACAAATGTGCGAGCTGACAAAACCACAACAGACGACAAACCGGGCAATATCCACTGGCCAGTGGCTATGAGCTGGCCAAGCTGTCCAAGCTGGCAAAGCTGGTCCGAACTTCGTGATTTGTTTATACGGCTCTCAGCGATGTCGTGACGTTTGGCCCTTCGAGGCGGGAGAGTCCAGGAACAGAACAGCCAGAGTGGCGGACCAAACAACAAATTGGCAACGTGCTGAAAGCGGAGACGGAGTACGGGTCGTATACGCAATCTGTTATACGGAAAAGTCGCCGGCAAGCGTTGAAGAGCGCCTGCGCCGTCCAACGAGTGGGAAAACTATCCCAAAAGCGAGTCTGGAAAATCCTTGCTGGCAGTCGCACTCGCAGGCGCCACGGGGCAGGTTGTTCGATACGGCAGCACACGCGGCGTATACGTAACGTGGAAAAGGACAAGATTCTTTCGTGAGTCGAGTGAAGGTGCAAGGCTGCCGTTTAACAATCGCCGCTGTCCTCGCGCCGCTCCTGATCAATTAGAGCCCCTCGCCGAGCGGCTGACTCACCTGTTTTTCGGGTCAGAGTTGTTTGATTTGCTGCAAGAACACTTGGCGTAAACAAAACGTGTCCGAAGCACTGGAAGCACGCTCCAGTGCTCCACGGCTCTGGCTGGAAGTTGCGTCAGGCGCACGCAGCTTCCATGATGGTTTCGTGGGAAGCTGGCGCTGCTGCCTGGCGACATTCACCGTTCTGAGTTGGCCCCCGTTGCACGTGGGCTGGCCCAGCTACGGTGCTATTAAGCCTCAGCATCGAAGGCGGACCACCACTACCACAACTGAGACTACTGAGTGCCACAATCTACCATAAATAACCCAGAGGCAGCTTGTAATCAGCCAGCCAATCTCCCCGTTCTCCGTTCTCTGTTCTGCGTTCTCCAGTGCGTGTCGGGCCCTGTGATTCGGCCTTTGTGCAACTTTCAACCGTGTAATTGAAATTAATGATCATTGTGCGGATGTCTCCGTAATTCCGGTTTCGCAGTGCGATTATAACTCTGATGTTCTGCCCTGAAGCTTGAATCTTGAAGGAGTCCCGGCACTTTGCTTTATTAAAGCCTCGCCCCAGGGGCAAATATCACTCACAGTTTAGCGAAACGCATCTCACAAATTGCTGTGTGACAGCCAGGTGTGAAGTATTGTCCGGGGAAAATGTGCCACGTTTTCCTTTGAGAATCAAGTGGGAGCAGCTCCCCTGGGCACTGATTTATTTATTTATATAACAAGTGAGGAGGACCTCGGAACAATAAATGTTCTAAGCAGAGGCTAGCAATTGTTTTCCAGTGTCTACTAAATTTTGTTTGTATTCTATACCTTTGTTTGCTATTGAAAACTCAGGAAGCCATTGCACCTTCTTTTATGATCATTCATTTTGAAGTAATCAAAATCCAGCCTTTGGGGTGGCAAGAAAATGGCTTATTCCCAGCTTCTGTTTACACCGAAGTAAGCATCACAGAACTTCCCTTTCAGAATGCAGAACTGATTGCTGCTCATCAGGAGCCACTTGAAAAACAGAGTGCAGCATGCGAAGGAAAAAGAAAAGTGTAGTGATAGCGACCAGGAAAACAATCCGACTTTAGTGCCAATAGTGCCGTACGAAATGCTGCTGCCAGTGCCGTGCTGTTCGTGTCCATGTTGTGATTACATAATGAGACGTTGCTGAAAGTCAAAGTCAAAGGAGAAGCTCCCAAGTTCCCAGTGTGTGAAAGCCAGCCAGCAATATCTCAACTCGCCGCAAGCCGCAAGTCGCAAGAACGCAAGCCGAAGCAGAAGGCAAACAGAAGGACGCAGGACTCAGGAGGCAGGAGGCAGGCAGCCAAGGCAGCCGGAGGATGCCCTTCGGTCGCAAGTCCCCGCTGGAGGCGCTCGCCCTTCCCGGCGTGATGCTCGCCTACAAGTACAGCCAGTTCCGCCAGCGCCGCCGGGAGGCTGCCAGCCGACGGGTCACCGAGCGCGAACTCTCGGCGCTGCACCATAAAATCGTGAGTACAACTACAAGCGGCGGGCATCGGGCATAGGGAAACAAAGTCATTTTTACTCGCCAGCGGGTGGGAATACTCGTTCGGTGGCGGTTGCTTTCGCCCCCGAAAAGGATTTATGTTTATCACCCACGGGAGGTATTTCACGAGTTCTGCGTTTCGTGTAGATATAATTACTTTGCCGGCAAACAGTTACACTAATGAGTAGTATTTATAGGACTCAAATTGGGTGCAGAAGTAATGCCAAAAGCATAAAATTGTGGTATGGGATTAACAGACTAACATTCGTTAAGATTTTAATAACCTTTTGTTAGAATAAAAATTAAATATATTATACAATATTATTTTATACAAAAATATACAAAAAAGAAACAAAATATTTAAGTGGCCATCCTAATTCCATTTCAAAACAGGGCATTAAGGACTTCGTTCTGCTTGGTTTTTCTTCTCTTTTTGTTTATGTACCAGTTGGGTTCTTTTGGCGTCTTCCCCCCTGCTTCCCTGTCATCCATAAAACGTAACGCAATAAAAGAGGCGAATCGGCAAAACAGAGGCGGACGTTCATCAAAGCATGCGAAAGTCGGGTGAAAGTCGGGCGAAAGTCGGGCATCATTAGCCGCGTGGGGCAGCGGCAGTCAGGGGGAACAAAAAAACAGCACTGCTCTTGAGCCTTTTAAAGTGCCGCCCATCCTGCCTTCTGTTTGCTTTTGCTCCGGCCTCTCACATTTACAGCTGGCAAATAGTTGTAAAAATAAAAGCCACACACAACCCATCAAACACATCAAAACAAGGTGAGGCTCTGCTCGGCTTAGCTCGGTTTGTCATGGCCCGCAAAAGCAGGCAATAAAAAACGCCATAACTTGTGCCGTAGTTCGCATGTGTGTTTCGCTCTAAACTTATTTGCATTTTAAGGGTCAATAAAAAGTGTAAGAGCAGGAAGACAGAGACAAAAAGTTTTAGAATCGAGATTTCTTTGGCCATTTGCCGTGGCATTTGCCTATTTTTACGACGTACAGTCTTTGATCTTAGCCACCAAAAGAAAGCAGTAAGGCGATTACTGATAAACTGTCAAAGTCGGGTAAATATAATATGTATGTTCTTAATTTTTTGTAAGTAAAAGTTATTTTAGCATATACAGATTTTGGGAATTTGGTCTTCCTAATGTTAACTGTGCTTTAGACACTTTTACCCGTTAAACGCCTTATAAAACTGTTAGCAAATCTACCGGAGAGCATCAGTCATATATGGCATTTTAATGAAAAACAGTTATAAAACTCGGCTCATTTGCATTTGTTGCAGGACCAAAATGTGCAACGCGGCCGACTGCAAAGTGCCAAGTTCACTTGGGATTTTGCGAGACTTGCTTGAAATTTATGGCTTTCAAAGCCATAGACGGCCACGCCCACTTGCCGCACACACACATCCGCACTCTCTTGTCCGCACTTGGGCACTTGTACTCGTATAAGGAGAGTAGAAGAGGCAGCAACAACAATTGCAAAGTGCACAAGCAGGAAGAAAAAACGCTGGCAGCAGTGAGCCGGGCTCAACTGCTTTGCATAAAATCTGACGCGTGACTGTAATTTCTCTACGGCGACCTTGAGAAGCAGCTAACACACTGCCACACGCACACTACACACCACCTATACATTGGCCAAAAAGGCCAAACACACGAGAAATGCTTTTATGCAACATTAAAATTCACAAAAGCCCGACCAGACTGCCTTTCGAAAAATGCTTTTACAAATAAATGGCCCTTGGCCGGCACTTTCCGTCCACTTTTGGCTAGTTTATCAGGGAATTGGGAATACATTTCTGAGTCATACTAATTATGCTGAAAGTCCTTTAAAGCTGAACTACCGAAATGAAACATCAAACCATTTAAATAGGAAAAGCCATTACATTATTATTGTCCCTTATTTTTGTCTAGTCATAATGTCACGTTGTATTCGTTATCCAAGAATTGTTATTATCAACTTTTTACATCCTATCTGAAACCAATTGATTGGTTTTAAAATAAAATGTTTCAGTACAAATAGCAGAAAACATTGACATTTAAATGGAAATTTATAAACACAATATTATTAACCATCACCAATTCGATTTTTCCACACTTGTCTCGTTAGTATATAAGCTCTACGCGGTTATTGAGCTGACAATTCTCAAGCCAGTACCGCCCAAGATGAAGACAACTCCAATTCTATTAGCCCTGCTGTTCATCCGAGTAGCCGATAAGTATGATATGAAAGAATGAAAAGATTTTTTGATTATAAAAAGAAAAGAAGTTTGTAAAGCATGCGATTAAACTTGGGAGTAACCCAATTCTGTTTTTTATTTTGAAAAGTTCGTCAAGCAAAAGCAACAATTATAATAAATTTTTTATATTTTCACTGCAAGCTTAGATTAGACCGCGGAGTATACCCTATATTTTCGATAGGTTATGCCAAATAAGCCTCAGATCCTGGCCATAAACTCGCCCTTTAAAACCCTACACATACGACTCAAGATTTCCAGCTGAGCTAAGCTGTGTTAAGGCCGTGTAATCCCGAAAGGGGAGGAGCCCGCACCCACACACCCACACAACCTCGCGAACTCACACACACACGCACACTTCGTGTCGTTTCGTAATCCCCAAAAGTATGCAGCGACAAAATTGTCATTTACTTCGTGCTGCGAGAAGCGGAGAACCGGAAAAGCGCGCCTAAACCTCGGCCAAGGAGCGGGTCTTTCGCGATATGTTATTAATGCAAATACGCATAATATATAACAAGTTGATTAGCCGAGCGCGCGGGGAATAAGCTGGAAATGTGCCGAAAATGGGATGGGGCTAGGCAGACAATCCTTTGGCGGTTAAAAGGAAAACGCTGTCAAAACTTGAACTCTGCCCCTGGAAAAGGAGTCGCGTGACTATCCAACATCAGCAGGAAAAAACACAAAAGCCGAAAAGCCCAGAGCGAGACCTCAAGGAAGGACCTCTAACTGGACATTTTCGGTCAGGCAATAGAAATAGAAAATAAAATTTATAATTTACTTTGCAGAAAGGACGGCGAACGGAAGTTGTCACCTGGCGCGGCATTGGAGAAAGGTGCAAATTAATGAAGGACCGGTCTGCCACAAAGGTCAAGCTCTGGCCTTTGCTGGTGGTATTTCCCCCGTTCGTTTCGGCCTAAATTGAAATATAGGCAAGCTGATACACGATTATTAGCCGCTGCAGTTCCTGCAGTCGAGTGTCCTCTGCATTTTTCTCCGCTCCTTTCCCAGCTGCCGTTTGACCTCTCGCCAACCGCCACCGCCTCCTCCCCCCTCGCCCCTTCTCTAGTGAGTCTTTAGCAATAAATGACCGCACAATTTGACTTGGCACTTGCAACGTGCACACAAAAAATAAAAAAAAAAAAAAAATCCAGCTTAGTCATCCAAATGCCAAAACAGTTGCTTTGGCCTGCACTTTTGGGCTTGGCTTTGGTCTATGGCTCTCTTTTGGGGTCCTTTCTGAGTTGCCTTGGCATTGGCTGAACTTTCAAAGGGAGTAATGGTCAGACAAGGGTTTAATTATTGTACATACAATACAATAGAATTGAAAAAAAAATCATAAGTTTTAACAAATTTAGTTAATGATGGTATTTGCTTCAGCCACACTTACCAGACAGCTGCAAAATTCAATAATTAAAATTAACAAGCATTTATTGGGTTTACAATACCATATTTTTGGTAACTAATTTGGGCAAGCTACGAATTTTCCCGATTGTATTTTAAAAACTGCTTAATGTAGACGAAGGGTATCCAAAGACCGGTCCTTCATTAATTTGCACCTTTCTCCAATGCCTTGCCTTTCGTTTCCGCTTCTTTGTGGTCAGCAGCACAAATATTTGCCATTGCAGCTCTCCACCCGCCAGGAATCGCCTGACCATAAATCAGGCACAAAAGCATTTGAAAGTAATTCCATTTTGAGTGTCCGCTTGCCGATTGCCGCTTGCTGTGTGCTCGCCTTGGGTGTCATTTGGATCGGGTTACCTTGCACAAAGCCAATCAGAGCAGAAGCTGCTACTGGCACCTGGCCGCCTTCCCCTTGTCGCAGGCGCTTTCCATGGCGGACACTCGAAATAAATCATTAAGATCGGGCATTAGTCAATTCGATGGCAGCTGAGCCATTGCCGTTTAGCGGGAAATGGTCATTAAAGAGCGCGGAGGTCCCTGGACTTGGCACGCAATGCAGGAGCCGGATATCCGCTGGGCGGCTATCCACCTCCCCCTTTCCAAGGAGTAATTGAACTTTTGTGTCGCGGCAGACACGCAACTTTCCGCAGGATAATGGCAAGCGACGCGAGTGACGCCCCTCCGTCCTCCGACTCCTTGAAAGCGTCCAGCTTTGTATGCGAAAATGTCAGCGAGTGCTCCCTTTGTCGTCTGCGAACTTCCGCCTTTCCTTTCCCCCAGCGATCCCCCTGCAATTAGAGTGCATTAAACTTTAGTGTTTACGCATGGGGTTTGTTGTTCCCTTTGTCGCTGCCAGATTTCCTTGGGCCATCACGTGCTGCACCGAAAAAGGGTTGCGAAGGGTCCCCTGTTACTCCGCCCAGTCCCCCCGACTTCTTCCACCGACTTTTGGGGCGCGGCAATGCATTAGCGCAGGTCACGCGATGTCTGCACCACTATACTATATACTATATGGCATGTACACCCGAACGTACACGGAGGAGCAGCTGAAATCGGGGTATATGGTATATTTATGAGGGGGAATTTTCAATGTAGTCAGCAGACGTTTACCCGTACCTTAATTGCATTGATTGGAGCATTTAGAGTGGCTAGCCGATGTGGAACACGATACGATATGCGATACGATATGTGTTGTAATTATTTTCGAAGGTTTTCGAGTCGCGCATTAGGGCCGTAATTACGTGCATAGTAGGAAACATTTGCATATTTTTAAACTGCTATTATTTTAATCATCTTCGTTATTCAACATACAAAAGCAGAAACCCCTCTCTGGAAATGGTATCATTAAATTA